AATACCCTGACAGCCAAAAATCCAAAGGATGTGCAAGCTCTAGTAATAAAACTTAAGGAGCAAACTGAAAAAATGGGACTAAAATTAAATATAAAGAAGACCAAACTAATGACAGCAGGTAAAACAACAAGCCTTAGAATTGGCAATGAAAATATCAAAGTGGTGGATAGCTTCTGCCTTGTAGGCTCAAACATCAATAGTAAAAGAACCAGTGGTCAAGAAATATGCCGCAGATTAGCACTTGGCAAAGCAAACATGAAGGCTTTGGAAAAGGTATTCAAATGCTATGATGCGTCTATACCTACAAAGAACAGAATAGTGCAAGCCATGGTATTCCCTGTGACACTCTATGGAAGCAAAAGCTGGACTTAGAAGAAGCAAGATAGGAGGTGTAGTGATGGTTTTGAACTTAGGGTTGGAGAAGACTCTTGAGAATACTGTAGACAGCCAAGAAAACAAAGCAATGGATCATCGAACAAATCAACCCAAAGTTCTCACTCAAGGCACAAATGATCAAACTCAAATATCCTACTTTGGACACATTATGCAAAGACATAGACCTTTGGAGAAGGCTCTAATGCTGGGAAAGGTGGAAGGAAAGATAAGAAGAGGACAACCAGCAGCCAGGTGAACAGATGAAGTTACGGTACTGATGAGTGCACCAATAGAAATGCTGAAGGACCAGGTTAGGGACAGGTCATCACAGAGAAAATCTATCTATGTGGTCTCTAAGAGTTGACAATTATTTGATGGCACATAATCATAAATCATATAGTTAAATAGAACTTTCCCAGGAATTAGCATCTCCTTCCAAAAAACGTAGCGATTAGTGTTTGTACATTTGTTTAAAAAAGTTACTTACCCTAACGGTGAAAGTCCGTCCCCCAACTCTGTCACGAGCTTCTAAAACCACTACACTAAGTCCAGATTCAAACAACAATTTAGCTGCTGACATGCCTAAAACAAAAATAAAATAATTTTGTCATTTGTTTTATTGTCAAGAATATCACCTTAAACATTTATTAACAGATAAGCAGAACTTTCAAATTCAATATACCACTAATATCCAATCTGTGGTACACTGATATAAGACAATGTTTTGCTTATACATTTCAATTTTTTTAATCTTTTCAACTTAAAGATTTCTACTGTTTTTAAATACAGGTAGTCCTTGTTTAGCAACCACAATTGGGACCAGCAAGGCAGTAGTTAAGCAAAGTGGTTGCTAAGTGAAACATCATGATTTTATGATTTTACTTCACCTTTCCTTTGCTTTACAGACCTGTGAAGGTCATAAATCCAAGGGCTGGTTGCAAAGTTACTTTTTCATCACTGTCGTAACTGAATGGTCACTAAATGAGTCAGTCACTAAATGAGGACTACCTGTACAGCATATTAAAGCCTGAATACATATGAACATT